GGTGTTAAGTTTCAAACTTGCAAAAATCAAGTATTTATTAATTAATTAATATTAATTAGTTAAAAATTAATTTTTGGTCTCAGTTTTTTTACATGTTACAGATTTCCAAATTAGTTGGTCATAAATTTTTTAATAGTCACATATAAAAAATTTTCTAAGTCACAATTAATTAGTTGGTCACAGATCAAAATTTATAGGTCACACAGTCATAGATTTTCAAATTAGTTGGTCACAGATTTTTTCACGGTCACATATTATATAATTTTTAGGTTATAGATAACAAATTGGTTGGTCACAGGTTATATTTGTAATCACAGATTATCAAATTTTAAGGTCACGGATTATATTTTAGTCACAGAAAGTCATACGAACATAAATTTCCAAATTATTTGGCCACAGATTTTTTTACGGTCACATATTATATAATTTTTAGATTACAGATAACGAAATAGTTGGTCACAGATTTTATTTTTAGTCTCAAGTTATCGAATTTTAAGGTCACAGATTATATTTTTAGTCACAGAAAACCAAATGACCAGATTCACCGCCACCACCTCTACACTATCGCCACAACCACTACCACTGCCTCTACGACAACTACCACGGCCAACATCACCACCATCCAAACACCACGACAATCACTAGTAATATCTCCTTTTCCAAAACCATTACCAAAAACCACCAGATCCCGCCAGATCTACCACCACAGTTACAACCACATAATTGTCGTCGCACAAAACATCACCAACCACCACCACCCGTAGCCAACTTTACAACCACCAGCACCCAACCGCCATAGTCACAATTTTAATTGGTCAGATTACACGCACAAAATATGAAATCGTGGGGCTAACAAACATGAAATTAATTTGGGGACACCTTTAGGATCTGACAATTGGGTAGGGTTCCAAAGCCAAGAAGGGGGGAAGGAAGGGGGGGGGGGGGGGGGGGGGAGTTTTGGAGAACTTCTCTCTCNCGTTGTCATTTCTTCTTCTTCACACAGCCCTACACCTCATACAATAAATAATCCATACACCGTCGTCATTTCTTCTTCACCATACTATTTCAGCGTCGCGATGCTGCTGCAAATTAGGGCAGCATCGCGAGCTGTGAATTAGGGAGGGAGAGGGAAGGGGAAGGAGGAGAGGAGCGGAGGGAGAAGGCGAGAAGACATCACCCACAGAGAGAAGACGATGCTCCATCAAGTCGCCGGTGACGGAGAGGGAGAGAAGTGAATTTAGGTTTGATTTAAAATGAAATTAATTGGGATGAAATTAAAATATAATTTGTGTGTATATAATCTGTATCTAATTAAAAATATCTGATTTTTGAAAATTAAAACTTGAAATCTGATTTTGGAAAATAGATCTTGAAAAGTAGGGAATTGGGTAATTTGCACTTTTATTTTTACCCAACTTTGTTTTGTTTTTCAAATGATTTCAGTCGGGGAAAAAAGAAAAAATTCACATCAAAGAGATTAAGTATGGCCCAAGAAACGAGGTTTAAAATTTCAAAAATCAGATATTATTTACATTTTATTTATGAAATAATTAATTAAAAATATATTTTATTAATTAAAATATTAAGGTCATAATTCTATACTATTTGGTCACAAATTATTTTTCAATCACAAATCAAAAATTTTATAAGTCATATTATTTCTCGATCACAAATCAAAAAAATTATAGGTCACAATTTGTTTATCGATCACATGTCACAAATTTTATAATCAAGACTCAAATTTTTAGATCACATAATATTTATTGGTCAAAAGTTATCGATCACAAATTGGTAAATGTATTGGTTATGATCAACCAAATAATTGGTCTCAAACACCTCCACCCCACGCCATCGCACCTACAACCACTAACAACAAAATTATCACCATCACTGTCAACACCTCATCTCCAGCGCCACCTCACCGTCAGCAGCAGCACCACCACCACTACCAACAGTAGCACCACCATCATCGTTGTTACCGTTGCATCCCACCCCTACAACTGCCTGCTTCGACAACCACCCACCACTTCCATGTCCACCTTCACCTACAACTCCAATCAACCACCGCATCACCACAACCAATGCTTACTAGAATCCACCATCTCAGACAACACTACCATACCACAGCCACCACCCCACCAACGAAACCCCTAAACTCGCAACAATCACTAACAACAACACACCTAAACTCCATAAACCTACAATAATCACCAACACGCACCAAACCTCGGTCGCGTGTAGCGGCACAGAGCTTGGCGTCACGGCTTGTGAGTGTCGCAAGTAATGACACAACGTCGCAGCAGCGCGGTGCCACGCGTAGTGGCTGTGGCGACGATGGAACATATGTGGAAGTGGATTTGGTGGTGGGAAGGGTTAAAGGAAATTTGTATAAATGAATTAAGGTTTGTTGATTAGGTGGAATGGATGTGGTAGATTAATTATATTTAATAATATTATTAGTATTAAAATATTGAATTATGATTTGAATTAACATCTGATTTTTGTATAAATAAACTCTAGATTTAATTTTTGAAGCCGAATCTTAAAAACTTTGGTTGGGTGCAATTTCTACAAAAAAAATTGAAAAAAAACCCTCGAATGGTGAGGTGCCATGAAGGGTAGGACTGATCGACCTGCCTCAAAGGTCTGGTTAACACATGATTCTGGCTTTTCACGAGCAGGCCAAAGGGGTTTCAGCATGCTCACCAGTTTTGACACCTATAGGTAAATGATACGATACCAAAACCAAATAAAATCGCATCCTTAAATAAAAATGCAACATTTTTTCAACAGTGCATCATTTTAAAAATTCTCAGCCTGCCTCAGAGCGAGACTATTAAAAAATAAGTTCCATTTCTTTAGCAAGCAGGTTGATACATAAAAGTTGCAACGAGGTGGGGGAGGAATTATTTTTTATTTTTAAAAACGCTATAAATTATTAAATAACAATAACAACAACAACAATAATAGTTGAAGCGTGGACCAAGTTTTCACATTCCATTTTAAAGTTCCTGTTCAAACCCCATTTTTTTTTCAAAATTTACTTTAAATCACACATTTTTATATAAAATAATTTTACACATAAATTCAAAATTATTATTTATTTTTTTAATTACACATTCTCCATTATTTCAAAACACATTTCTCCCCAAAAATAGGATTAAAAGGGGACTCCAGGTCGAGAAATTTTGACATCCGACCGAGTGGCCTGCATATGAAGGCGAGCAAACTCAAGGTCCGGGGTGTAGCAGTCTGGGCCGCCAGTTTCAGCCCGTTCCATGCCCCAGCAGCCCGGCAACAGATATTTCAAAATCTAACCCGTAGAAAACCTGTCCCCGGACCCCTCTTTCCCGCCAACATAAGATCCACAATTGCATCTATTCAATCACTCTTGATCCGTATCTCCTTCAATTCAATCCAACCACAGAACAAAAAATCGTGCATAAAAGGTTTGATCTTTCAATCTATCCATCTCGGGGGGCTATGGGGGATTTCTATTGATGTTTTGAAAACATTTAAAAATGGGGAAAAAACCCTAATGGAGACCCATGTAAATCGGTTAAACCCTGAAAGTAAACGCACCATCGTAGCAAATCAGGAAACAGGGAAAAAGAAAGAAATGGAAATGGAGCCATACCAGTTCTGGAGTCAACAAGATGGAATGCTGGATTGATCTGAAAGTGAAGAGGAGAAGGAGAATTCAGAACAAACTTTTATTTCTTCAGATCCGAGAGCAATTCCAGCTTAAAAAGCGCAATCAAAAGCATGAAGACAAAGTCCAGATAAGAATGCACTAAATATGTAACGTAAAATCATCCCTTTACTGCTCTTTGGCTGTGTACGGATTTGAGTGATCTCTTCTCTCTCTATATGTATGTGTGTGTATGTATTTGGGGGTGTGAATGGAGTGTGGACTGGAATGGGACGCTGGGATTACAGTAATTCATTCTTGAATTTCTGTCCAAGCCTGTCATTGCTCCAACGCGTGGTGGATTGGAGGGTGGTTTGGACTCTGGGCCACCAGGCAATTTCTCTAATGACGCGCATCTTATGGTACGTCTTTCTTACGCTCGCATAAGTTCAGCGCCGCTCATATAAGTTCAGCGCGTATATTTTCTGCTAGTATAAGTTCAGCGCGTCTCTTTTCCGCTTGTCTAAGTTTAGGAATTTTCACAAGGGAAAATTAGACCCCAGGTTCTAACCTTTATTCGATGGATATTTGTGTCTCCAAACAAT